TTTTGGGCTAAACCCCAAACCCTAAACCCTAAACCCCAAGCTCTTCAGCCCAAAGGCACATCGAAACCCTTGTTTAGGGTGTACCGTACCCTACCAAAACCTACCTTTCTGTCGGTTCTTAATGTAAACCCTACTATGGAATCAAGAAGGACCCACCCAACCAGTAGGTGCTGGTGGGTTGTGGTAGGCTCAAAAAAGCCACCCTGAACCCACGAAGCCCCAAGCCCTAAACTCCCAAAGCCCTCTCAGCCCGGAGCCCTTCGCCCGCAAGAACGCCAAACCCTCTAAAGGAGCAATAAAAGCCGGTACCATGAATTCGGCTCACTAAAAAATAGTATACCCTAAATTTTAGAACCCTATTCTAATTATTAAGGCCTAAACCTTATACCCTAAACCCTAAACCCTACACGCTAAACCCTATAGTAACTATTAATCCTTGAGGCCGGCACACATCAGCTGTAACAAAAATGCAGAACCTAAAGCAGTCGAAGCTGGAAGCCGGAAAAGTTGTAAATTCGAGTCCTTAGGATTCCCTAGTATAGGGTTTAGGGCTTATAGTTTTGGTAGAAAGTACGCCCGGAACTTTCTTCTAAGTATGATCAAGGCCGAATATTAAACTTTAAGTTGTGACCAGGCGATCGAAGTCCTGGAGCAAGCTCAGAAGGAGCTTGCAACGGAGAGTCTGTGATTTGAGATCTTATTGGTGAATGAATGGTTTAGGGTTTAAGTCCCTAAACCCTAAACCCCTAAAGGTTTAGGGCTTCGGGCTTTGAGCTGTTTAGGTGTTTTCTTTGTTGGCAGATCTGGGAGCAGACGCGATACGGACGTTGTTACGGTTTGGGGTTTAGGGTTTACCTGGACCCCAAATAGCCTACCTTTTTAGCGTTCCTTGTTATGTCTTCTTTATATAAGTCCTTAAAAAAGTTAGGTTGTTTGGGGTCCAGGTAGGGTTTACGGGTACTGTTACAGCGGTGGGTAGCAATGCAGCAGAAAAAGCAGCCAGAATAATTCCAGGAATCCTCAAGTCCTTGCCTCCTAAGCCCTACAGAAAAGCATATATGCATATGTATATACATATATATATATATGTATGTATGTATGTATGTATATATATATATAATATATATATATATATGTATATATATATATACGAGCCCTGAACCCACATCGTAAAATGCTAACGTATCCAAATAGTATATACTTTGGCCTAAAACTCTACTCTCTATATATAGGTACTTTGGGGCCAAAGTATATGTATGCTGTATGAGTACTTTGACCCTTAGGGGTTGTGAACCCAAAACCTTGAACTCCTCCCTGAGGGGCTAAGTGTGGTGTCAGACCCAAGGTAGGGAGTCTGTGGAACCTGTGATTCGTTCAGCCTTGCAGTTAACACCAAAGATCGACCTCGTGTTTTCTGAACATCTCATCATATCCTAAACCCTAAACCCTAAACCTTAAACCGATAAGGAACCGTTGGCATGTTGCTGGTAGCCCGGAGCTTCCGATTCAGGGCAGGGTTGCATCCCGAACCTCAGTGTTTTGGCCATTCACGTTAGGTTCGTTGCTACATCTCAGTGGTGTTTGGAATTGTGTTGTAATTTAGTACGATCCTGGACCCTCATTTGTAATGTTTATTTCCTCTCGGGCTGGGTTTGTTATGTTTTTGCTGTAAAGCGTAGGGTTTTTAAGGGTCGAGCGCTTTTATGTGATTCCGAACACTTTTCGAAATTGGGCTCTGTGATGGGATATGATCAGCGATTGAGGGCTTCTAGGTGTTAGAAGGACAATTTAGCACAGCTTCACGGGATCATTATGGGCCACTAATCCGGAAAACCGATCAAAGCTCCAAAAAGCATTCCCTGGCTCGATACCGAACTCTACATGATCCCCATGGACCACTACGACGGGTCCACGTGCGCCCCCCCCCCCCCTTGTGCGTACGTGTGTGTGTGCAGTGTGTGAGTGTGCATGTAGGTGTGTGCGTTGGCTGGCTTGTAGATGTAGAAGTCGATATAGCTGGAGATCCTTGGCCAAGCAGCAGGTACTTGGCATGTGCGCTTTGGTGCGGGCGCTGAGATTTCCTTTCAGGACTGCAAGCTGGGGCTGCATCTAAGATCGAGGTTGCAAATGAACGTGGCTGATCGTTGTCTGCTCAAGGTGTCACTGGTTGAACCTTCAAACTTCGAATGCTTGTACATAGGTGCTGTAAGCTGCATGCACATGCATACAAACTACAGTAGGGCAACTCAGTAGGATGTACTTATTTATATCACGATTTATCTACTAGCTGCTTGGAGTTCGATCTAGCAAGCTCGTAGCTTTCTTCGAAAATCATGGCCGACTCAGCTGCGGGGCCTGCTCCTGCTGATGCTTCCCTGGACCCATGTGTCATCCTAGAAGCCTGGAAGAAAAGCCCCATCATTATGACACGTTTGATGCAAGGCATGTTGGTGCATTTGCCCAGCGACTGCAAAAAAATCAAACGTGACCATCTTGGTGAAAACGTGGATTTGCTCGGGCCGATGATTAACAATCTGGGAGTCTTGCCTTAATGGCTGGGTTGTTGATTGCAGAATATGTAATTGGAGCCTATATCTGCTGTACATGGTTTGCAACCGAGGCTTGCGACCATCGGTCAATATCATCGCCGAATACTTCCGTAGATTCTTTATGGGTTGCCGCCCCATGAACCTTCGCATGCCAACCAGCAGCTATGCTGCATATGCTTTCATGCAGTACACACATGGCAGCTATATAGTATGTGTGAGTGTGCATTTGGCCTGCCCACCCTAGGCCATGAGATCCAGGTTCAGGCCTGGATGGCCCGACGGCTTATCACTTGTTTCTCCCAGCTGGCAAAACGTCCCCATGAGCCACGCCAAGAAGGGGTTCGTCGACTATTTAAATGCTCGGGGATACCCATCCCATCCTCCCGCTCCTTTGCTCAAATCGCAGCCTTGACGGGCATCAACCCTGAACCCTAAACCCTAAACCCTAAACCCCTAAACCCTAAACCCTAAACCTTTTAATTAATCAAATGATCGAATATGCATGAGCTGAGGTGGTTCAGCTGCTGAGGAGGACTCAGGAGATGATGAGTTTGATGAAGAAGGAGAAGATGGAGAGTCGGAAGTGGGAGATGATGATGATGAGGTCCTGGAAATGGGAGATGATGCTCCAGGACCAGTCCCTGTCCCTTGATTGAAACTGAGCTTTATAGGCCCTATTGAAACCCAATATAGCTATATATTGCACGGCCACTACAGCTAAGGCGGCAGCAGAGCGTCTGGACATCAAGCCCGCAGACCCTGTGGAAGCCTCTTGCCTAAAATATCAGATCCTGCGGTTATGTGCCCATGTGTATAGCCATAGCTAGCAGGAGAGGCTGACAACTGGTGCCGCCCTGAACATTCCGAAGCTTGTGACACTGGAACCTTGGTTGAAATTGCCCCAGCCCAATGCACTCGATATCTTCGTGCAAGCAAAAAGCAATCTCAACTTTATCTATGCATGATAACTGAGGCAGAGTCAAAGCCCACAGGAGATGTTGCAATGGGTATCAGCAAGCCCGGTCCCTTGATTGAATATGTAGCTTTATAGGTTCTTAACACTCCAACGTGGCCCCTGCTGCAGGCACAGGCTCTGCAGCATCCTCGTCGTCGCCACCGATTGTGACGCCGCCTCCACGCACCCAGGTGGCAAGATCACATACATGTGTACCAATCCAGTGTAAAGGCTAGTGCAGAAAGGGGTGCACCCTGTAGCTTAAAATTTATATAACCCTATATACCCTACAACCTTTATATAATCCCACCCCTAAGGCCTAAACCCTAAAGCCTGATCCAAGGTAAAGAACCGCTCAGCCCAAGAAGCCAGGCAAAGCAGCGCAAGCAGCACTATCTGGTGAAGGATCGTTCCTACGGGTACTTGTGTGTGCTATGTGGAAACCACTCACAAGACATCAGTGCTTTGAAAGCCAGGCCATGTTTCCCCCTGCCCGATCTGCAACCTTTGGACGAGAAACTCGAAACAGCTTCCAGGTCAAGTGGTAAGCCCTCAGGGTCTCCGCCCCGTGGTGTGAGACCAGATCACAGCCTCACACCCACCGAAGCTGAGTCAGAGGTGACTCCAAGCCAAGCAGCGATGCTGGAGGAGTTGGCATCTTTGCAGAGGCAGCAGGCCTTGTTGGAGGAGCTCATGCAGCTGCAGGAGCTAAAGGATTTTGAGAAGGCACTGCAAGAGGAAGAGGATCAGCTAGAGCAGGCCTTACGGAGGTCTGCTTTGGAAGCGGAGGAACAGGAGCTTGCGAAGCGCAAACGCTGCATGGAACCTGACGAAGCCCAAGCAGCCCCAGCGAAAATCCCAAAGGCGACGCCCCTGAATGAGGCCATCTGTGAAGCAAAGCTCCTTGAAGCTGAACGGGCCACAGCAGCAATGGCTGTTGATGAGGGGGTGGTTTGCTTCATGGTTGCAGTGGATGTCACATGTACATTGCAATAAAGGCCGGGGGTTGTTCTGGAAGCATTGGATCCGAGGTCCTGATGTGGTGGACACCCTGCCCCAGGAGCTGTTCTTTGACGAGCCGCATGTGGGAGCAACTTTGGCGATAGACGATGACATGGCTGTTGATTTGCCGGGGACGTGTCGAAGGCTTGAGGTGCCTGTGGGAAGGCTCGAGGTGCCTGGGGCAAATGATGCTACGGAGGAGAAGGCTGACAAGGCCTCCAGTGTATCCCTGAGAATTGAACCGGTATCCGATTCTGAGGGGAAGGAGGAGCTACCGCAAGAGGATGTGATGATCGATTGTAAGGATGGGAAGCTAGAGGTTGCAAAGGTTTGCGAGGAGCCTCCAAAGGTTGCAAGCCCCGGCAAGGCTACTGTCTTTTATGATCGTTTGCCTCCCTGCCCACTCCAGATGGAGCATAAGCCCACAACACCAAAGGAGCAGCGAGAAGCTTTGGGTATCCAGTCGAGAAGGGGCCGAGGTCGTGGTGGTCGGGGTGGTCGCGGCCCTAAGGCCGGCCGTGGGGGCAGCCGGGGCCGTGGCCGTGGCCGTGGCCGTAAGCCACGGTCTTCTGATGAGGAAGAGGAAGAACAGGAGGAAGAGGAAGAACAGGAGGAACAGGAGGAACAGGAAGAACAGGAGGAACAGGAGGAACAGGAGGAACAGGAGGAACAGGAGGAACAGGAGGGTGATGAGAAAGATGATGCAGAGAGCAAGCCGGCAACAGGGGGTGTTCGCAAGGCGCCTAAGGTCAAAGCGGTGCCTAAGAAGGCAGTGGCCAAAGGGAAGTGCAAAGCCAAGGCCATGGCAAAGGTGACAGCCAAAGCAAAGGCGACCCCAAAAGCAAAGAGCAAGCCAGAGGGGAAGGAGCACAAGGCAGCCAAGAAGGGGAAAGCAGCCAAGGAGGAGGAGAAGGAGATCCCCAGCAACAAGCGCAAAAAGAACGACCCAACACCGAAGGTGGCCGCGAAACCCAGCAAGACCAAATCGGCTGGCAACAACAGTGCTGGTGATGCTGCTGTCGATGAAAAGAAAGCAGAGAAATCCCGGAAGTCTGTTGCTTATCATCGTGCTGTGAAGGAAGCCACGCAGTCTGGTATGTCAGAGGCAAAAGCAAAAGAGGCAGGAAAGAAGGCTCCTAGTCTATATACATAGCATATGTGTGTGTGTGAGCTCCAAGCCCAAGCCTATATAGGTTAAAACTCCAAGCCCAAATCCATCTGAGGCTTACGCAGCGACTGCCTAGCTCGAGCTTATGATCGATGAGCCCTGGGTTTTGACCTATGTGCAGTTCCAGCTGAACTGTGCCTGATGTGTGTGCCAGTGACCAATAAGGGCATGGGGTTTTGAGTGTGTGAGGCAAGGCCCTCAAATCACGCTATGTGGGGAGCCAGGATTTATTCCTGCACATGGGGTTTTCTAGTCCAATATGATCCTCTGGGGTCATGAGCATCAGATCGGATCCACGCGAGATTGAAAAGGCCAGCTACACTTGAGTTGCCTGGCATGCTTGTGATGACTTTCTGGCACAGTGCAAGTCAGTGCAAGCAAGTCGACTTCAGTTAGGGATATAATTAGATCATATGTCATCAACAGCATTGAAGGACTTGGCTCGATGAGTGAAGGCTGGGCGGTCCGAGCCTCGCTTGCTGGTGCGCCCTCCCCCGAGCTGTGCTTGTGCTGTCGCCTGCATCAGAGAGTTTGGAGCTATCGGTTGTGCCGTTTGCTTGCAATGGGGTTTTGCTCCAGCTGCCTTTGGCTTAGGGGTTAGCTAGCTTTTGTGGCAGTTCTTATACAATGGACAACACGTACTCCATGGTTGTCAACTTGGTTCAACTCAATGCCCCCAAGGCCACTCAGCTGTTTATGTCGATGTGCAAACTACTTTTTTCCATTGAGTGCTGCTGCAGCTGTAGATCCATCTGAGGTTTTCATCGCGACGGTCAGAATCTTAAATTGAGATGGTCCATATATAACTAATATGGGTTATTAATTATAATGATCGAAGATTGTGATTCTGATAAGGTGCTGTCTCTCAGATGGATGAGCAACCTGTCTTTCGATGAACGGTACACGCTGTTCGAAGTGTTCTCTGGGGTGGGCAATGTGTCTGCTGTCTGGACACTAGGCTGACCTCATATGCTTCACCACAATAAACATGTCAAGTCATGGTAGCTCCAGTGAAGAACAATCAAGCTTGCTAGGAAGGAACATGGCCACACTGTCGCTTCGTACGATCGCCTCTACGACAAGTCTATGGACTTTGTGTCAAGTGCTGGCTTTGGGTTCCTGCCCTGCAGTTCTCCGTGCACACTTCGGCACCATGTTAACAAATTATATTCTTGGCCACTAGGCTTGATGCATCTGAGGCTGGCTTTGTATGTTGTACTTTGCGAAGTACCGGATGCCATGAACCTCATCGCCCCGGACTGTGGATCGTGGATAACAACGAGCCGTGGAAGCAGCCTTCGATCCCCCATAAATCCTTTAGGCCGCCAAGGGCTGCAATGGGTCGATGACAACAATTGCACAGTTTCGCGGAGCATTGACTGCATTTAGGGTTTATATATCTTTGGCAACAGCATATAGCTAGTCTATATCATGGAGACTAAGGTGTGTGCTGTTGATTCTTCTTATCCTATCCAAGCATGGTGCTTGGGTCTTGGAACAACCAGAGGGATCTCTGTTATCCGAGCACCCCCGATGGCAATGGCTATGCAATCGTGTTGCCAAAGAAACCTACCTGCACGTAGGGCTTTAGGGTTTGGGCTGTGGTTTGCCGCTGCATGATTTGATGGGGTCAAATGATCTAGGTTTACAAACAATGCTTCTGGATGGGCCACCATGGTGGCCCCACTCCCAAGAGAACCTACGTATTGTCTTCGATGCCTACGATTTCAATGCTGGATCTTGGTTCGATGACGAAAATCCAGAAAGAGAGCATGCAGGCCCCCAAACTGGTCCGAGCCTAGGCTGTCATCCTAAACCCCAAACGATTGACCTTAAACCACAAATCCTAAATCCTAACCCTAAACCTTAACCCCAAACCTGAAACCCTAAGCCTTAACCAAATGCCTACACAACCAGAGCCCTAAACCTAATAAATCCCCAGGCTACTTACATAAGAGATATAATTTATATAAATATACAATTATTCATAATATATATATATATATATTATATGTATATATATATATATAATTAACCTTAATCCCTATCCCTCTGCTAGCTTTGTTTGCCCTATATTAACCCCACTCGATCCGAGGCAGGTACATCGACAAAGCCGGGAAGAAACGTTTTGTGGGGAACCGACAGGAGCTGAAAAGCTCTGGGAACCTTGGCTAGTTCCTAGTCCCTATAGAGGTGTGAATGCAGCGGTGGCTAGATCATCTGACCCAAGGATCTATACCGAGACCTTTGGTGAGAACCTCCTCAAGGCTTTCCAAGAGTGGCGCAAGTTGCCTCCTGGTGACCGTGCGGACATCCGTAACCGTAGGGCCGTAGACCTGGGCAACAGTGACAAGGAGATCTTTGCTTCTTTACCTACTGGGGATCTTTGGCTGGATTCTCGTGTCCATGAGACGTTCCTTTACCTCTATGGGTCGAAGAACTGCCAGTGGCTTGTTGCATCTAGACCATTGCAATTATGCAGCAGGCTATGCGATCTGAATAGGCTCCCACGGCTACTTAAGTAACTGTTATGCTGAGGATACCTGACAGCTGGGCTGGTGTCATGGAGAGCTTCAAAGAAGATGTTGTCCAGAAAGCACCTAGCCTTAATTTGGATTGGCCATCTACACGTACAATTTTAGCCGCCTGTCTTCTGAGGCCTGTGGTGATGAGTGCCTCCGCTCTGAGCTGCGAGAATTGTCTGAGCAAGCTTGCTCCTAGATTGTCAATCACCGGGCCTTGCTGTGCACCGTGCCAGGAGCACCACTTAGATAGGATATGTGGTTTCGGTGAACTAGTAGGACCTTATAAGGAATTCTCGGGTTTGAGAAGAATAGGAAGAAGGTCTTGTGTGTAGGGGAGGAGGAGGCTTTGGGGTCCAGGGCACGTATATAGTAGGAGGGTTGGGGTCTATATAATTTATAATGGAAACCATAGGATAACCTCAAACCCTGAAGCTCAAAATAACCCCTGTTACGACCCAGCAATCCTTATACAGGGCCGGATAGCTTTAAAAAGAGTGTCCAAATAGGGTGTTGGAACTTGCTCTTTGATGGGGCTTCGGGTGGCTTCAGGTGTCAAGGTTGGCCGGTGCTTAGGCCCCTTACAACTCGAACTATATGTGCTACCACAGCCATTACTGGTATATAATTGCTACTTCCACTCCTGCTACTACTACTACTACTACTACTACGACTACTATACTACTGCTAGTACCACCACTACTGCTAGTATTAATACTACACTACTTCTACTACTACTACTACTACTACTACTACTACCACTGCTGCTACTACTACTACTACTACTACTACTACTACTACAAGTACTGCCATAATTGTTTCTAAATATTATATACTGCTCCTCGTCTTCCTTCTCTGGCTGCTGCTGCTGCTGCTGCTGCTGCTGCTGCTGCTGCTGCTACTGCTGTTACTCGTACTGCTACTACGACCACCGCCATCACCACTACTACTATGGTTATTACTAACTATACTATATACTATATTACTACTGCTGCTGCTGCTGCTACTACTCCTACTACTACTACTACTACTACTACTACTACTACTAGTACTACTACGACTACTATACTACTGCT